CATCTTAATGTTGCCTTCACATTTAAAAATACAGGTGAGACAGCAGGACGAAGCTAGCTGTAGGTAGCCTGCATCAATATCCCTATCATATATGAATGGGTCTTTCAAAAAGGTTCATGCAATTGCTCAAAGTTTTTTTTAGTTGCCTTGGTAATTTGCACCAACTTTTTGCGTATCTCTGATCCACTGAGCTTGTTTCACTAGTTAATATAGGTTTCCTAGCATATGCAAATACAAAATACATATTTTATTCTTAGGGAACTACTGTAGGGGACATGTTTAATCTTCAGATGCTTCATAATGCCATGGTATGCTCATACCCAACTGAGTTCTCAATGGTTAGGTTTGCTCCACTGAACCAAACTTTCTTCCTAGGTGTGTAAGTCTCTTTTTAACATGCTCACCACCATGCATCCATCAGACATGATGGTGGATATTCTATTTTCAGTGGTCTATTTAAAATTCTCATAGAGATTTACTTACTTTGTTACAGTATTATCATGGAAGTTTTGGTAGAGAATATGTACATTATCCAGTTGTATAGTTTATAAGCTATATACCATACACTTTTAGATAAAATCACATCTAAGTATACTGACGTAAAATTAATCAGTTTTGGTTTCAGGAGTGGCTGTTTCAAACACCTGGAAACAGGGTCAATGTAGAAAAAATTAACTCCACTGTGCTACAAAAATAAGGTTTACAGGGATTTTCTGTTACAGTTATTTCACTGGTTTTTGAGTCTTGCATTTACTTGTTACTGTTTTAGCATCTCTGGTTAAGGTAGGGAATCTTGCAGTCGCAGGGCAGATTGTCGTTGAAATTAGCAGTCTGGAAATGAACAGAAAGGTTTTTGGGGTTTTTGGGAGGGCTTTTTTAACTTTTATGTTACAATGACTGTATTGGCCTTGCAAAAGCTAACTTCAAGAAAAATAATACTGTGTGCGTGCACAGGTATGTAAAACAGGAGATGGGATATAATTCTTTTGTCTTATTCTCTCAGTTGGGGGGGTAGATTTGATTGTTGGACTAGCGCTAATATTTGTAATGATTTTGCACAACTAAGTTAAACTCTGTTTGAAAGGTGACTGCATAGGAATCTTAAGGCTCTTTTAGATGGTACAATACAAAAGGGTCAAAGCACACGTTTGTATTTGTTCTTGCATAGTAGTCACTTCCGTTACTTAATACTGTACTGGGAGGCATTCTTTTGGCAGTAAGTACTAAGAATTAAAGACTGTAATAGAAATAATTTTGATGACAGCTTACTGAAAAGGGAGTAGAAGGTTTTTGAGCATAGATCTGCATCCGTGTTGGTCTGACTTGCAACTGCCTTCCATTATTTCTGTTAAATATTGCTCTTATCAGAAGTCTCCTTCTTGGTGACTCCATAGTTGGAACGACTTCATTTGGCGTTTGAATGTTTGATCCATATTCCTACATTCCAGAACTTTCACACCAGTGCACTTCAGGTGTACGCCACCACGTATACCTGACCAGTCTTTTATTGTCTTCTGTCACGGATGGCTTGCATTGGTATTTTTACCACAAGTCTGACAGGAGTGTATCTTTTGGCTTTGAAACCTATAGAAATGGGAGATTGCTTTGATCTCACGAAAATCTGCTGGGTTTTAGAGTACTGGAATTCTACATGGTTTACTTTTGAGGAAGGATTCCTTTTTCCGCTCACTTCATAGTCAATAGTCAATTGCTTTAAAATTTGAATGCCTTAATTTTCAATGTTGTCACTTGTTTTTCTTGGCACATCTTTGCTTTTTTCTTTGTGCATCTTGTTTTCATGGCAGTTATTACATTGTGTATGTTAATGCATGTTGTCTGCCTAATCATAATTTACTGAAATAATTGTCTTTGCGGACAATATATGTAACAGGGAATGCCTTTTGTTCTCCTAGGATTCAGGCCTTTTTCCTTGTTTTTTACCTGATGTAAAGAAACTTCTTGTTGCTGGATTTTTAAACTGTTACATTAGTGTGCTACTATGCAATAAAGAAACATGGAGAAATCTGTGCCTGTATCTCATTGTGTAATTAAGCTCTCCAAGTTAAAAAGTAGATTTTTCTGAAAATAATACAATTCCTCCTTGAGAATGAACCAGTTCATTGTAAGTGGAGTCTAATCAGATGTCAGACATTCTGTGATACTTAAAAGCTATGAAAGACTCTGCTGAACTGTATTATAATTGAAATGAAAGAACAATGACCTCTCTGTTGTCGCTGTATGAGAGAAGGATATCTGATTTTTTTGTTACGTTCAGCTAGATGCCACATGCTGTCTAAAATGGGATTCCAAATTTTGGAGATCGTTGCTGAACTACTTCATTTGACGCTGATCATTAAACTCGACCTGTTTGATTAAGCTAATTTTTCCATTGTGTAGTTGGTCTTGATAAAACTGAACGTTGATCTGATGTGCTGTGTGACTCTTTAGAGTTTCACATTTAGTGGCTGTGGCTACTAGAATCTTATCAAGTACCCCAAAAAATAAATTACTTTTATCAATAAAAATTGGCTAATCGGGTGAAGTAAGCGTTAATTTCTCTGTCTCACTGCTTAGCCATGCTTAGAGTCTAGATACCATGTAGATATATTTAGCTCATTTCATTCAAACAAGTTTCCACTTCTTTTGATGGGCAAAGTAGGAGTTACCTGGTTGAGGAATTCCCCCCCTAAAATAATTGTAGGCGATACTTTTATAAAAAAACCTCTCAAACTGTGCTGTTTGGTACCCGTCGTGGTGTAGGCACAACATTTCAGTATAAAAAGGAGTGGCACAGGTTAAGAGTGAGGCCAGCTCCACTATGGTTACTATTTAAGGGTTCTAGAAGCTACCACCACTTCCATTTACCCTACAAAAAAAGCTTATAAGCGCTTATGTTAGTATAGCCGAGGTGTTTGCTAAAGAAATGGCTTATTTGGTTCCAGCAGGCTGTCTTATTTTGATCAAGGCAGCTCTCCCGGTAAATGGTTAAGAACATACACATTACTTCTAACAAATGGCCAATTTACTTCTGATATTGGTAATTATTTGTTTTTCTGACAAATAATTCCGTCTTTCTTTTTGATGTGACAAACTTGGAGTGCCTGAGTATTAGCACATGGAGAACTGATTGTATAATCAAATAGTCTTCAAAGATTCTGCGGAATAACTTGGGGGCCTGAAGAGAGTTAATGTTCGCGGTCAGAACTGATAATAATACTTAGCATTTGTGAAGTGCTTTGAAGATATAAAGCACTATACGAACACACCCTAACACCATGACTGCAAAGCAGGTATTTTCTCAGCAATACAAATGGAGAACCAATTGCAGCATTAACTCTCCGACTGATTAATTTGCAAGACAGTCAAGTATGTGGTTGATTTGAAATATGGCAGTTCAGCGGCTGCTTCTCCACTGGTGCTGGATCCCAGGATTTCCAAATGGAAATGCTGTCAAAACTGAGGGTGAAGTCTGCAAATTCTTAGCTGTCAGTCTACTAAGAAATTCCCTTTTGGAAGAATGGGATGCAGGGAGAAAAAGGTAACTCGGTCCCATTCTTGTGCAAGTTGATGGAACTTTCTGTGAATTAGGTTTATATCTGGTGTAAAATGCCACCCATCAAGCAGGTAGAGCAGGTGATTTATTTGCCTTAAAGTAAGAAGTTAGTCTAGAGCGTTGGTGAAGTAAATCCACCGATGAATGATTTTGCTCACCCAACTATACAACTGAGTTTCAGCATTCACCTGAAAATACTTGAAGCATACATCTTACTTCAATTCCAGTCCTGTCCGCTGGATCCTGATGTAACGAGGCCACCACAAGAGACAATCCCGTATGTTGTAGGAACCCGTTGTTTGGTGGGTTGTTTTTTTTTTTTTCTGACTTTGTGGTCCTGTGAACATTTTGCCTAGACTAAATTATGAAATACAGTAACAAGTAAATGGTGGTAAATCTTACTTTGAGAAATAATCGGTTTAGATTACAGTCATATAGCCTGTGGAATGGGGCTAGTGTTAAGCTGGTAGGCTAAAGAAAGGCTTTTAGGGTTTCAGGAAAATTGTGTGATAGATATGTTTTGCTGTTTATTTTTAATTAATTTTCATAGTCTTTGCAATCTCTTCAGGATCCCATTTCTCTTTGAAAACTAGAAAAATGTGCTCAGCATAAAGGTAATTTTTGTCTAAGCTTTCTTCCTAAATATGGATGTTTATAGAAATGGGAAATGAACGTGGTTTTAAGCCTCTGGGCTGTTGGGGCTGACAGCCACAAGGTGTCAGGTTCTGATCAGCGCTTCCAGGGGCTGCTCAGGATTCCTCTCCTGGCTGGAAGTGGTCATGATGCCAATTACCAGTGCGAGGTGCCTGAAAATGTCACTAAAATGTTACATCTTTCCCCAGAATGCAGATTTCATGTTTTTCTGAGGTATTTTACAGGAAGCCTCCTGACCCACCCTACAGCTTGTACTGAAGTGTGTCTGTAACTTGCGAGGAGGAGGATGGTGCAGGAAGGAAGGACGCCGACCTTGGGTTTCAGAGCTTGAACATGACTTCTTGTATGATACCAACTAATCACTTGCTGTGAAAGAGCTCCTCAAAGGTACCACTTCCACCTCTCAATGGGAATGGCTGTTGTTGAGAGCCAGGGCTTCCAGGCTTCAGCTGCTGAACTCGCCTCCTATCCCATAAGGCCAAGAGAGCATCCGAATTTGCTGAAGAATTGGCTCCTACGGCACTGTTGTGAAGTATCCAAGTAAGTCTCCTTGGATGCAAAACCTATACCTTCATTGAGGTAGCGTGATAGAAATCGCTCATCTTGCCTGTATGCTTGCCGGATTGGCGAATTTTTATTTTTATTTTGCAAACAAGTTTTTTTGGTGATCTTAGCATCTGAAACGCCAGGCAGATTTTTGCAGTCCAAAACCCTTGCTCCGCAGAAATGAAGGCACTGCAGCAGCTGGGCCTCGGCCTGTGCTCCTGTAACTATGTACGGTAAGCGGGCTGAAATGGGATGGGGCTGGGGGGAACTGGGAGAGGCAGGTTTTGGAGAAATTTAGGTTTACACGCGCAGAGAGACAACATTCTTCTTTATGGGAACCCGCCGCCCGCTCCAGGCAGGAGAATGAATGGCAACAAACCTCCCCTCCTGGCAGCTGACAGCGGGGGGCGGTGGGGGGGACCGCTTTGCTCCCTTTGCGGGGTGCCCTTTTGGGGTGCGGGGGGGTGTGTGGGGTGGCGGCGTGCGAGCTGCCCGCGCATCGGGAGGGGCCCGCCGGTACGGAGTGTG